GACCCATGGTCGACTCTAATTCTTCTTGGGAATCCGTGTAGATGACAGTAATCGTTTAAAAATGAAATTACATTTCTCGCGGAAGTGTTGTTAACAATATTGGTCGAAGGGAACTTTGTATATCGGTCAATGCAAAGAAGGATGAATTTATTGCTACCCCAGAACGCGTCCAACGGTCCCGCAAAGTCCAGATTAATTTCTTCGTTCGCAAATGTCAACGTCGGGAGTTTCGAAATATTACGGGTGCCTAGTAAAACTTTAATGTTCTTAGCAGCTTTTAAACATTGGCTACATGTTCTCCCGTGATGGTAAATTTCCCGATAAATGTGCGGCCGCCACAAGTATTCGGCAAGAGATTTCATCCCAAACTGTTATGGATGAGTCTCATGGAGCATCGAATTGAAAGTTCCCCTGATAGTAGCTGGAACAACTAATTTATTATCGAGGAAAAGTAAATCGTCCTTCACGTGTAGATCTTTGTCGTAGATTTTCATGTATGCTCCGTGTATGCCCATTGGTCGATTCGTATTTATCGTCTCGATCAAGTCCCACTGCACCTTATCTTCCCTAGTCATAATCTGAAGCAACTTCTTTGAGCAGTGGTTTTCAGGGCGATTCGGGGAATTTGGTAAGCTTAGGTCCGCCTTGTATCTTCTTTCGAGGTGCGCGTGGTCGGGTGAAAGTCGGTCATCCCTGACTTTGAGGGCGATATTATGTTCTTCGGGGATGATCAGTAGAGGTTCGTTCACTTTATCCATTGGAAATTCTAGTCGTTTTTTGCTGGATGGTGTAAATTGTCTGTTTTCTAATAAAAAATATAACAGGACTTTGTCCGTAAAGGTAATACTTTTAAAATTAAATTTCGAATTATCGACAGGTTGACAATTTGTAGTACAATTTTCTGCCCGAGAATGATGATTGTGAAAATTTTGATCGACCGAGCGATACAAGATATGATAGCAGCAATAATTTTGAGGTTAGGTAAAGCTAAAGAGCTATTCAACCGATTCTGACCAATCACGTCGCTTGAATTTTCGTTTCCCGCCAGGATTGTAGTAATTTGAGAATTATTTTTTACAGCGACCGTTGGTCTATCTACAGTATTTACAGTAACATTTTCAGAATATTGTTTATTCAATAAAATGTTCTGAATTTTGTCGATTGAAGCGACTACAAATTCGTCGTCATAATGGGAAATTGGGAGGGCTTTGCCTGAAGGAAGTCTAGATAAAAGGTCTGTAAAGCCCATGTCCTTTCCTGGTAAATGCGAAATTTTAAAATTGAATGGTAAAAGTCTGTTCACCCAACGGGTCAATCGACTATGCATCGTTTTGTTTTGAAAGTGCTGATAGTAATGCTTTATGGTCTGTTACTATTTGAAATTCAGTTCCGTACAGGGAGTTTCTAAAGTGTTCAGTTGCCCATACGACTCCCAGCAACTCCAATTTGTTGGTAGAATATTTCATTTCATAGTTATTTAAAAATCTGGATGCAAACGACATTGTTTTGCACTGGTCGCCCTGTAATTGTTCTAGGTTCGCCCCTAGTCCGTTGTGTAAAGCATCCGTTTTCAGTCTTGTGTTCTCTTTAATATCAAAGTGGCTGTTTTCTGTGATATTTACTATTTAGGCTTTTGACTTCTCAAACGCTATGGAATGGTTAATGTCCCATTTGTAGACCGATTTTTTGTATAGTAGTGGCCGAAGGGGAGAACTTAATGTCGATAAGTTAGGAACGAATTTCACATATTGGTTTATCGAGCCGAAAAATGAACGTAATTTCGGAAATATTCTTCGGGGTTGGCAAATTTTTTTTTGCGTCTGCTTTACCGACCAAAGGTCGTACTCCATCGCCTGAGATCTTGAAGCCAAGCCATTCGATATCTGATTTAAAAAATGCGCATTTCCCATTTAACTGCCCTGTTGTTCTTATCTAATATTGATAAGATTCTATACACTATTGATTTGTGTTCTTCCATGGATCCACGCGAGGCTACCAGGATGTCGTCTATGTAATAATTTGTGAAAGGGAAGTTTTTCAACAGTGAGTCCATGACCCGTTGGAATTCATTTGGCATGTCCCCCAGTCCGTAAAATCCAGTTAAAAATCGATACGTTCTAGTAGTTTCACCGCCTACTATACTAAAGTTGCACTGTTTACTTGTTTGTTCGGATAGTTTGAGTTGGCTATAAGCGTTTTTCAGGTCTAGATTACTAAATCAAACTCGCCCGTTGGATTTTTCTGAAATTTGAAGAGCCACCTTATCAATCAGTTCATGGATGTTCGGCATTTGATACTTATTTTTAAAAATAACTTGGAGTCTAACGCCAGTTTGATCGAAGTATCCTTTTTCCGAGTAATTACAATTGGGCTGATAAAACAATCTTTGTCGCATTTCTCTAATTTTATTATGTGACCTTCTGTTTCCATTCTTTTTAATTCTTCGTTCACTCCAGCGAGTAAATGGAGTGGGACTCTTCTCCCTTTGGATTGTTTTGGTTTAAAAGGTGAGTGAAAATGTGTTACTTTTCGGTCGTTAGGTGTTTTCCCCACTCTAGTGACTAGTTATTTGAACTCGTTAAAAATCTTGTCAGATAAAGAAGGTAAGTTTTTGTACTCACTCTCGAGTGTGGGTTGGTTGACCATGCAGATTGGTTGGGGGCATTTTCTCTGTGTCACTTCTATGCCCAGCTTGAGAAAATTGTCGTTCCCCAGGATGTTTTGTTTGTGTCCGCCGGTTATGAAAAACGGGGTTTCTTCGCTGATCCACCCATTGGACTGTGTTCTGACAATTATTTTTCTCAAGATATTGATTGTGTCGTTGATGAATCCGCAGTGTAAGTCTACTATCCTTTTCTCCACTGGGTGTATTTTGAGATTCGGATATCTCAGTTTAATTTTGTGTAATACATTCTGTTTTGAAAAACTTACAAGCTTGCTGAATCTACAGAAATGTTCATACTTACAATCATATCCCAGCCGATGCCTAAGTTCAGGAGTTTCTTTGTTTCGAGACCGTTTTTGTCGTAGCTAGTCCTAACGCTCAACACCAAGAAATTGTCATCGTCACTCTGTCCGTACTCGTTCCACGCATTTATAACATCACACGATTCTTAGTCTTCCGTCCAGGAGTTTTCCGGAGATGCGTATGTACAATTCTCGGTATTTACATAATTATCTGATACAGTATTCACAGTTGGTCTCTTATTGCGTGATTTTACATAATATGGTGAATTGTCCTTTATAATTACAATTTTTACAGGTTATGTCCTTCGCTGGGCAAACGTTTAAGTGCCCTTTCGTAAATGTATTCCCACATTTCATGCACGAGTTACTCCGTTCAATGTTTAGGCTCGGTTCCTTTTTGATCTGATTGTGATTATTAAAAGATTTAAAAGTTGTCCCGTTGGTCGACGACCGTGACATATTTGTCAATTTCTGGTGTTTAAAATATCCCTTTCCCTCGATTAAAGCTTGATTAAGTGCTTCCGACTGGCTTATGGTTGCTGACAGTAGTTTCCTCTGGGTATCTGTGTTCTTCATATTGCAGATGAAGATGTCGCTTATCCATTCTGCCTCGTCAGATTCCTTGATGTTGCACGTGCTGGCCAAATCCGTCAGGGCTCCCCAGAATTGTTCGTACGACTCGCGGTCTTTCTGCTTTCGATTTAATAATTTCGAACGTAGTGTTGGGCGGTTTGTGAAATGCTGCGTCTAGTAAAGTCCAGAACTCGGAGAACGTTATTGCTAAAATCTTGACTCTCGGGTTCTTTTGTGTAAAAACTCTTTTTCCTTTGCTCCCTAAGGCTAGAAATAAAATTGATCGCAGTTTCTTGTCCGCCTCCGTTCGTCTCATTCCATTAAATTTCCTTTTTTCTTCGTTGATCCGCTTTTCTTCGGCGGATTCGTACTGTTTCATCGCGTTTTTGTTCCTGTTCTCTCTGTTGGCTCTTTCCGTGTCCGACTCGCTGCCTATTGCTTGTTCCAAAATTGGTATTTGCGTCTCTGGTATCTCTGGTCCGTGCAGACTCTCTAAATCCAGATTTTTTTTGGCAATTATCGCCAATTGAAATGGGTCGCTCCATTGGGTCCAGGCATGCGGTGGCTCTAGGGTATGGTTAGGCCAAAGGGGGGGGGGACTTCACGCACGTTCGAATCATTAGACTGCGCCATAATAAACTATTCTAATTCTATATGCCTATGTACATTTACTGTTCATAAACTTAAAAAGACTAAAACAATTAAAAGGAAGTATGTGAATTAAGAACGTTAAAAGGACAACTGAGCAATATCTCATATCGACCAATGGTCGTAACTTAATTGGTTAACAGGTATTAATTAAATACCGAAGGTCATTTAAGACACTAAAACAAATCACAACAATTTTTATTCAGCTTTTTTTTGGTTTTCAAACAATTTGGCAGACTTTTACAATTTTTTCGTGCTCTTGTGAAACCCCTAAAGACCTAATTGTCGATTTTTACGTCGCAGGCAATTGCGATAGGTTATTTTGAAAGATCTGACCAATAAATGGCGGTTGCTTGTCGCCCACTTCTCCCTCAATAAAAGCATATTTTGGTGCCGAGTGCATTTCTAGAAAAATTCAGGGTTGGTCAATTAGAAATTACGGTCGCAAAATTTAACCCCTGTGGAAACATTTGCAACCATACTCGGAAAATTTAAAATTTGAGAGCATGCTCGTCAAGCTACTGTTTTTTCCATTTGAGTTCCCAGTTTTCTTCTTTTCTACATATCACTTAACTTCGTAAAATCAATGATAACACCGTAAATTTGATTTTTACATCTGGTGGAGACATCCGGTGGTGATGTTTACATCTGGTGGCGACGAAAAAGAGCACCACACCCCTCCCTACCTGCGAATATTTGTGGCCTTCAAATACTTTTGGCGTTCATACTTAGCCTCGTAAAACACTAATTACACGATAAAACTGATGATTTTTAGGAGGGGGGTAAAAGAGCCGAGTCTTGATTCTCGTTTGTTAAACACTACTAGCATCGGATGCCCCCTCGCTCGTCGCGTTGGCTACTCTGTTGGCCTTGGGTGTCTTGTAGACTCTGAACTCCCTCCTGGTGAACTGAGCTCCCCCTTCCCCCTCCTTCCTCTCATTGTAGCCCTCCACTGTCAACTCCCCATACTCCCAGTCCATGTTGTCCTCTGGCCAGTACTGGTTGCACTTCAGAACGTCTCGCTCAATGCACTAAACACGGTCATTTGGTTACTTACTTGACCACTTCAAATTATATTGGGGCTTCCCAAACATTGGGAAGCTCCACATTATATTGGACTTCTTTACAACCCATATTTTTTAGCATGCTAATTTTCAAAAAAGCTAAAATTGCTGTTTTAAAACATTTTTGATCAAAAAATTATCCTTTTGGGCGCTCGCTTTCCTCTAAAAAATCATCTTTATTGGCGTTGGAGATGCCTCAGGAAATATTTTAGGGTCAATCGTTAAAAAAAACTTGATTTTGCATGTAAATAAAAACTAAAACAGCCGATGACAAAGGTCCTCCTGATTTCCATTGTCGGAACAAAAAAAAAAGTTTTCTTGACCTTGTCATTTAATTGCTCCAGATGGAAGCGATGGTGGTAACATTTTGCGCTCCATGCAGAACTATTTGATAATTCAATTTTGTCAAACTATTGTGACAAACTTATTAAAAAGAATTGAAAGTCAGCTGTGCTCTAGAAGACATGAGGATTTTTTTAAGAGCAATAACATTCATTGCAAGCTCTTTTTTCTTTTGGGTTGATATAATTGGTAAAAATAAAAGTCTCTAATACAAAAACATCGGAAAAAATCCAAATCACTGTTTTTCTCTTTTACGAAATTTTGCGGTAAATTAAAAGAATAAACACTTTCAATAGATTAGAATGAGTTGAGCTTTTTTGCTTACATTGAGGAAAAACAGCTAACATGCAGGATGATCAAAACATTGTTTATTTAAAAGTTAATCATTACGACTGTTCTATTTTTCTCTACCTCGCATTTCATGACGAAGTACTGAAAGATATTAAATCTTTTAAACACAAATCATCTAGTGATCAAGAAGGCATAAGCAAAAAAATGATTAAACTAAGTGCTGATTTAATTAGCTATCCAATAGCTGCTTTGTTAAATCAAATGGCAATCTACGGAAAATAGCCAAAATTCTACCTTTTCAAAAAACGGGTTCTTACGAGAACTCAACCAATTTTAGACCAATAAGCCTGCTATCATCAAAAAGCAAACTTATCGAAAAAAGCTTTTCAATCGTTTTTTGCAATTTTGATAAAAAGTTTAACATCTTTGCAGCAGAACAAATTGGGCTCAGGCAAAATCATTCATATACTCACGATATCATTAGAGCAACAAAAGTTATGCGAGCGTGCAAAAATTCCAAAAAAAATAAGAATGGCTTGACTTATAGTTTTCCAAAAAGCGTTTGACACTATCAATCATACTAATCTGTCGGAAAAGCTAGAAGGCATTGAATTTTGCGGCATATTTTACAATCTAATACAAAAATGTCTAATTAATCGTTATTAATACATATCTTCATAGGGAAAGAAGTCGGATATGCTACAGGGCCGTTGCTATTTCTATCATACATAAATGACCTCGCTATCAATTCAAAAAACGAGTAAAAGCGTCTTTTCAGGAAAGACACAACATTATTCTGCACTTATAAAAATTTAAGCGCAGTGCAAAAAATCAAATTAAAAGTTAAAATTGTAGACTTGTGGTGCAAAGCCAATAATTCAACTATGTATACAACAAAAAGTCAGGTAGCTAACTTTAATCGGAAAACAAAAAATGCCAAGTATCTCTTCTAGGGAAAAAAGTAAATATGCAGGTCCTTGCAAAAATTTTACTTTTAATTTGACTTTTAATCAGCATGCTGATACCATGCAAAAAATAACGGTTTTAATGGCCTAATATATCAAGTAGGGAAGATTTTTCTCGAAAAGTCTTCCTGAGAATTTATAATATTTATGCCAAGCCCGTTATCCCATATGGCTTACTCATATGGTTTAAAGCAAAAACGGGTTTTAAGAACTGTAGTGACAAATACAAAAATAAAACTCTTCAAAAATTTTTCGATCAATTACATAATTAAACTTTTGATCAATTGCCTAAATAATTGCCACTCAGTTTTTTTAAACGAAGAAAAGTTTTCACGAAGAAGATGCCCGAGTTCTCCCAAATCATAAATTCTTAATTTACAACTAGTAAAAATAAATTGGCTGCACAGGTTGTTCAGCCAGAGGATTAAAAAAAATTTTCGTCTTTTTAACCTCTAACAAACTGCTATCAGACAAGTTAAACAAATTAATGAAAAAGGAAATGAGTAAAAATTGGTAAATAATTAAGAACTGTTTTCTGATAGAGAATTTGGACGTAGATGAAATCGTTTTTTCATAAATGTTAGTATGTTGATTCTCGTGTTTTGGCTGCCAGGGTCTCGCCTCGATGAGTCTCAGAGCTCGTGCGCGATCATTGTGAGTTAAATATAGTAAATGTATATTTTTCACTAATTAAAAATCAAAGTTTGTACAGATTGATTACTCAATTATAGTGATTAGTTTTTATCATACCTGTGTCAGCATGATGATGAGTGAGACCTCATATTCCCAGACCATTCGCCAGAACGCATTGACAGTGTTGTGCAGAGGACCTTGGGTGGCAATGTAGGTGAACTCACTCAAACCACCTGTTAATTGAAAATATGAAGTAAAATAAGTTACAGATCTCCGCTTAATGAGACACCAGAAAACTTGCAGTTTAGACATAATGGTGTTCTTCCATGCTATTCAGACATGTTTTTGTAATTTTACATAATTAACTATATAACCAGATATCTATTGGAAACAACTTGTTTTTATTATTATTACTAATGACTCTTCATTATTATCATAATTACAATTTAATTTAAAAAATTTGCTCTTTTGACTTCTGAAAACTAAAACCAACCAGAAAACAAGACCAAATCAACCGCAAAAATCAAAGTCTTGCTAAAAACTCGGCACCACTTGATCAGAATGAGAGAAAAATACTAAACTAGAATAATTATTTGAAGTTAGGATGATATGTGGAACCGACATCCATGTGAAATTAAAGAAGATTAAAGGAATCAAGATGAATTTAATCAGAATAAAGTCACCTGGTAGGAAGTTTGCGTTGATGTAATCACTGCCATTGTAGTCTCGATTGAACATCATCCGGTAGTTGGCCATGTTTGTCATGTCAATCTGATAAATTCAAATTTAGGTATCAAAAGATGAAAAAATCAGGCCTAAAAAATATATTTGAGAGTAAATAAGGTATTAAAGTTAAATTTTGATCAGATAGCTTCATTGTGCGACCCGAACACTTTCAAGTGCTTTCATTGGAGTAGCTGTATTGTTCTCACTTTCGAAGGAAGGATGAAATACTTTTTGATGCTTCTATACCAGTGACAATGTTTGTTTGTTATTTGACGGAACTTAAGCGTCCAATGTTTTTTGTAAATGTCCATTCAGAGGACAAATTGTGCATTTTGTGAAATGTAAGCGGAGCCCGCAACAGGCCAAAATCAGATTTGTCGCGGAACCAGCATTATTTGCTACTTTTCTTTAATCTTTTTTGCTGTTCTGAGTTCCTCAAACAAATAGCTAAAACACTTTATCACTCAAAATTGCTCTAAAAACAGGCGAATTTGCGGAACCCACGACATTTTTTGCGGAAGCCGGAACATTTTTTATTATTTGTTTGTGGAATCCACAAACAAATAATAAAAACATGTAAGTAGTAAAATTGCGTTGTTGCGGAATCCGCTGCTGTAAGCGGAATTCACTTACATTTTGCGGAATCCAATAACATATTGCGGAATCCACTTACAAATTGCGGAATTCAGAACAACTAGCTGTATTCGTTTGTTGCGGAATCCGCGACAAAACAGTTATGCCGACAAAATTTACGTTACAGGTATTTTTTACGCGGAGTCCAGGAAAATTTCAAACATGTTTAAAAACTTGTCTCTAGAATCCAGGAACCTACAGACAAAAAGTTTGCGCCTATCCAGTGCACAGTTTGGCCTCGTAATGTTCGAAAAAGTGTGTTTGTCCGTGTCCTTCAGAAGTTGCATTGCCATACCTGTAGATCCGACCACAGGTTAGTAGTTGACAGCCGAACTCTCGAGTGCTCATAGGGTAAAACGCCATTGTCTATGTCCCCGTACCTCAAACAACCGATTACTTTGAACAAAATAGAACTTCTTTAGCAAACTTTTGATGACTCCGTGAACTTCTGAAGTTAGAAGTTCAGGTTTATCCACACGGGAAAGAACCAACATACGAGCTGTTCAGCTCTTCAAGGAGAACCGCTGTTAGGCCCCTGCTGTTCTGTACGGAGAGCATTTGTGGCATCTCTCATTATGACGAAGGACCCGAATGCTGTTTTTGGCCATAGGTCGGGGCCGCAGCAACATAAGTACGACTAGAGACAGGTTTCAACAACCCGTCTTTCGACTGAGAGATGTACTCAATCCAGCATTACTGGGTGGCAACCTAGCAGTAATCTAGATTACACAACAGCTCACCGCAAAGAACTAAAATCAGGCCGCTCATGCAAGTTTTTGGATATTTCGCAGAAGGTTATATAAGATAATCCCTCTATATCTGGAATAATTGCTTCCAAAAAAATTGCATTTAATTGGAAACATTTTTAAGAATCCAAAACTTTCGTACAAAAAAGAAACAATTGGTTGAGCTGAACCATTTGCTTTCAACAAATTTTTGACTGAACCTGTTCTGACTCATAACTACTGGGTCATAAGCACACACTGTAGGGTAGAAAATGAAGTCGTTTTTGGGGTCCAACATCTCAAAGCTCCTCTGCAGTTCATCAGTCTCTTTAGCATGTTTCAGCCACTTGGAAAATCTAAACGGAAGAGCAAACAAAACAGTTGAATTTGATTTAAGATGCGTCGACAAAGAATTCAAATCAGTTATCATTCACTGCGTTGCGTCAATATTAGAGTAAAACATCAATATTTGGCCCTTATTTAATGTTGTTTCAGAAAACTGCATTTTTACAGCAGACTTCAATAACAAGAATGGGTCACGTTTCATGACATAATTTTTTGACTTTATAAATAGATTGTTGCCACGACATTTAGGACACGAACAATTCAGCCAACCTCAAGAATTTGAGCCCAAGATTTCCCTGCCAAAAAATAAGAGAACAAGAATTAAATTTTAATTTATACTGTTCAGTTTAATCAGACAAACAAAGTTGCAAAAATTAAAGAGCGTTACTTGAGATTTGTTCAGTGGCAAGCCAGAGACAAGCGGTATCAAAATACTTTCCAGTTCTTGGTAGAAAACATCCGGTGACACCAATAAACATCTGTCAAATAATCAGATTGATCTAGAAGGTCAAGAGCAGGCAAAGTTGCAAACGCAAAAATTTTATTCGGTTTGAGGATATATCAGAGTCGTAAAAAATAACTTATCCCCACTGAAGGGTGATAAATTAATTTTTACGACTCTGATACATCCTCAAACCGAATTTTTGCGTTTGCAACTTTGCCTGAAATTTTGTTTGCAACTTTGATGAAAAAAAAAGAAAACCTTTCAAGAAATTGAAGAACTACCAGAAACGCTACCTTTCACGCATAGGCTATGCGTAAAAGTTAGTCTTTCTGGTAGTTTTTTAAATTTTTTCTAAGGTTTTCAGTTTATCATCAAAACTAAGGGCTTCTGTTGATGTTGTGAGTGGATGCGGAATAATTAGGGATTGTGCTTTCAGCTCAGTTTGGATACTGAATACAATTTGACTCGGTGGAACCTGATCTAAACTACATTTTATGATTGGATAATTTAGATATTTTACCAATGTAAAGTATTTAATATTAACCAATCATGATCCATCTAACTAACAACCCACTTATTTGTAAGTGCTGAAGTTACTTGTAATTTCAGCACCAGAGAGATTTGAATTTAACTTAGAAATTAGTTGGACTCTCCCGAGCACTTCAGCAACCGCAATAAACCAGTATACCCTAGATCTATTGAGCCTAGCAGAGACTAGTTAAACAACCTGAGACTAGATAGTATAAGAGTAAGATTAGGATCGGTATTAGACTAAGAAGTTGCACGAATCTATCCGGCCGAAAATAAGATAGCGTGACGAGCAGACGGTGTACCCTATCCGAAATTACTCTATGAGTTAACCAACTCGGTCCTAACTCATCTGGTGCGACCATAAGTCTCGAACAAGACCTTAATAGCTTAGAATTAACCAAAATAGATTAGAAATTAGACAAAAACATTTACAAAATGTTATACGACAATAATTTAATCGAAATGTCTCTACGACTCAATAGATCAGAGCCAATATTCCGAACCATAACAGAACTACCCGGAATTGGAAGAAGACCTCGAACCAGAGACGACATACGACAAAGTAGAAATTTGCCATATAGCTATATGATAGTTAGGCAAAAACCAGAACAAACTTTTATATTTAGAATACTACTGGCAATGAATTTAGATTTTCATTTGCAAACATAAAACCTTGAAGTTAATCTTCAAAATCATTTCAGGCGCTAAACAAAATTATTAATATACAATAACGATTGATAAAAAGATCTAAGATCGTTTTCCTAAAATTCTGCAGTAATATACAAAACATGTTTGAAAAATATTTATTGAAAAATAAAAAATAAAAATTAGTAGCATGACAATAAATGGTTAGTAATCATAAATCATCCTGTTGTTCCAGCTCCATCATCTAAAACATAACAGCAATCATAAACCCACTAATATCATCAAAACACTAAATCTTTCCTTTACACACATTTAAAATTTTATTAAAACTTAAATTCACTTAATTTTAAAACCAGATCATCAAGGCTTATCCTTGGATCTTAAATCATTTTCTACTTAATTAAAGTTCAAATTTGATCATCAAGGCTTATCCTTGGATCAAACAGAACAACTTTGTTCTCCCCCACCCACTTAATTAGTGTCTAACGACCTCAAACGTCGATTCACTACCCAACCCTTTCTAAAGACCTAAGACTAATAGAAATTTTTAAACAAAACTAATCATTCAAATTAGGATAAACAGTGAAGAACTTCGGTTATTCATCCTTCACTTGACCCCCCCTCTTACCAGACCCAGGATAAATCTTAGACTTAGTAAGTTTAAAATAGTATCTAACGAACTACTCGCGTTCTAATTATACCTGAACCTTGTGGATCGATTTACTATTCTCCAACCCTTGAACACAATCACTACCCCTAAGTAAGATTAAGTAAGTTAACACCTTAACTTATACTAGCCACGAGAAAGTAAAGAATCAATCTTCGGAATCGATATACTTTTCTCTCCAACCCTGAACAAACAGACCCAGGTTAAGCTAACCAAAAAATCGTAAGAACTAACAGTTTAAGAAAATAGAAATCATTTAACAACCTTTTGCATCCGTCATTCTAAACCTTATGTCATTTAAAAACCTAGGAAATAAACAAACAATCGTTTTACACAATTGTGAAATAGATAACAAAAAATACGACCTTGTAATCACACCTCATACACAAACAGTTGGATACATTCGAACAAAACGACAAACACTAAAAAGAAAAATAATAACGAAACAAAGACAAATAACACGAAAAAGATTTTCAAAAAATCGAAACGCATTTTCAGAATCAGAAACCAACAGTTTAGACGAACTTTACAAACTAAAAGAATCAATAGATAAAAATTACCCACTTCACGATCAATTATATTTTTCTGACTCAGAAACAACTTCAAATTCATCAAAAAGAGGAAAAAGAAGAATAAAAAAGCAGTATAAACACAAACCAGTACATTTATACAATTGGAATCAACCAATTCGACACATTAATAATTACATATTAACAGTCATCGAACGAAAAAATGAGCTCAACGCACACCCCAGGTGAAGAAAGTCCAGATGATGATGAAATCTTTCCTTTTATAGTAGACGCAGATACTGATAGAGGACAACACATATTTTGTCAAAATTTACTCGTAAATTTATTTGAACCCGGAATTAGTCCATGTAAAACAGAGTTCCCAGATGTAAAAATCAAAAGACAAATCATAGACCACTACTTAAAAGATATATGCAACATAACACAACAGTATGGAATCTACTCCATAGAATTCACCTCACCAAACCATAATAATAGAAAATATACAATTCAAACAGACGATCTTGATTTAGAATTTTCAAAAGTTTTTTCAGAATATATAAAAAGCATCCAATATCATAACTCACAAAGAGCAAACTCCATATTCACCAATGAAGTTTTCGCAATAATATATAGTTATATTTCGATATTAGAAAACGAAATCCCAATAACAAATGTCTCACCGACAGAAACATCTAAACATTTAAGAGTACGACATGAAATCACACTACTCTCTAGTTATTTAAACATCATTAAAGAAAATTTCACGAAAGACGACGTTTCACAACATACAAAACACGATCTACAAAAAATTTTGGCATGGTTCATAATAGATTATTTCACACACAATATTGATTTAATTGCACAAGCAAGAAAAAATTTTAGACCCCAAAACTCGAACGATGATACCGCTATCACAGAACAATCAGATTATGTTTGGGACCCCGAATGGTCTCATCCCGCATTTATAAGCTTCCCACAATCAATCTCAAGTCAAGCAATAAGTACGATATCTTACATAAGAGATTATGTAAAAGTAATACCATTAACCATTGATGCAACACCATTAAACTATAATACATTTTTGCCCGATACACAAAATAATAGTTTAAACTCTACAGTTATACACAATGAAAACCTCAATGGAACTAGGAATCTTACTCAACAAGATATCCAGACACCATCACACTTCATAAATGAAGAAATTGTACACACAACAACTACACAACAAAGTATTTCACCAATACGCCCAAATTTAACAACACCAAGAAATACAAATCCTTCACAAACACAGGTAACCTTACAATCAACCGTTAAACCTTCGGTTGCCCCTAAATATTCACATATGGATTACCAAACATACAGACCCATGACAATACCATCAAAAACACGCAAAACATTCACTAGAAACAACTTTACAGACCATAATTATAATTATACACATCCATCAAAAACATATAACCAACCACAAAGAAATTTTAACCAATATACAAGATCTCGAAATTGGGATAACCCAATGACCCAACCTAATTCAATAAATTTCCAAACAAATCCTCCACAGGATCACAGTGAAAATTACCCATTTTTTCAACAAAATAAAAATAAAAAACAGACATCTTATCAAATGGATTATTTATCCTCAGATGATGATTTCTTACAACCAGATATATTTGCACCAAATACTCAAGAATATCGTAGACAAGGAATACAGAGAACACGTACAAATCATAGAAATTTTTCTCCACAACCAATAGATGCACAACATCAACAACCAATTCAACAACAAAATCTAATTAATACACAATCTTTTCAACCAATTCAACAACAAAATCCAATGACTGCACACTCGTATCAAGCATCACAAATGCAAAATGAAATACCACTCCCATATTATCTCCAACAACATGAAATAACAAGAAACCAACTTTCGAATTTTTCTCAAATGCCAAATGCAGCAGAATCATTACAAATGACAATGAATCCATACCTTATGGGTGGATCATCAATAACATCAAACAAACCTTTAATGGTTTTCACAGGAACAGACCCTGAATACTCTGTAGAAGATTATTTAAATGCAGTAACAGCAAACCTGATTTTAAATATTGGACCTGAACCAATTAATACGCCACTACATCAAAACTGGATACATCGACGCACAGCGTTAATACAAACAACCTTAGATGGCGCAGCCCAAAAATGGTTTTCAGTACT